AAAAAAAAATCAGAATTGAGGATGAATCGAATGGAACAGAAGATGCAAAAAGAACTTCAAAAACACTCATCCACATGATCTTTAACAAAAGGAACAAACACATTCACTGGAAGAAAGATACCACCTTAATAAATGATGCTAGAACTGGCTATCTACACAGTGAAGCCTAAAACTAGACCCACGTTTATCACTATGAACTAAACTAAACTAAAAGTAGATTCAAGATCTAAATGCTGAAATAAAGGCATTAAATTTGTTGAAAGATAAAATAGATACACCACTGAAAAGCATACCTACAGCTAATTTGTTCACCAAAAAAACCTGTAATTCTACAGGAAAAACTAGAAAAAATCAACAACTGGACTCTCGTCCTATGCAAATGCTTTTGCGCAGTAGGAGAAATCACCAACACAGTGAACAGACAACTGATAGAGTGGGAAAAATTCTAGCCAGTTTTTTTGTTGTTGTTGTTCTTCTTCCAGTACCAGGAATTGAACTCTTGACTTTGAGCTTCCCAGGCAGGTGCTTTGCCACTGAGCTAAATCCCCGGCCCCTTAGCCAGTTGTTCTTAAAAAGACTAATATGTAGCACATATTAAGAATTGAAAAAAAAAAAAAAAACAAAAGAATTGAAAAAAAACCAGACCTACCAAATTTAAAGACCCAGTCCAAAAATGGGCATCTGAGATAAATACATATTTTTCAGATGAAGAAGTACAAACAACAAATAAAGATATGCAAAAGTGCCAGGGATATAGCTCAGCGGCACAGCACCTGCCAGGCAAGTGCAGAGTCCTGAGTTTGATTCTCAGTACCAAAAAAAAAAAAAAAAAAAAAAAAAAAACAAAAGTTAAACATCACTGGTTTTTTGAGAGATGAAAATTAAAACTATGCTGAGATTACATTTTATTCCAGAAAAAATGGCTATCATCAAGAAATGAACCACTAACAAATGCTGATGGGGCTGAGGAAAAGAACACTTAATGTTGGTGGGTGTGTAGACTGGTGCCACCACTATGGAAACCAGTGTGGAGATTCTTTAAAAACTAGGACTAAAGTTGCATTGGACCCAGCTATTCCCCTTCTTGCTATCTTTCCAAAAGTATTAAATCATTATACCACAGTGATATATGTGCAGCCATGTTTATAGCAGCACTGTATTTAACACCTAAATCTCAGAAACAGACCAGATGCCCATCAACCAATGAAAGGATAAAACAAGATGCATTTTTTAAATAAATGTACTACTACTTAGCCATACAGAAGGATAAACTTGAGACATTTATAGCTAAATGGATGGACCTTGAGACCATATGCTCAAGCAAAATAAATCAGACACACGTGTGTAAATATGCATTGTCTCCATGGTGTGAGAAAATGAAAGTGTAAATAAGAACCAAAATATGTAACACATGTTGTAAAATAGGAAGAAATTGTTCAAAAGGAAAGGGGAACTAGAGAGGGGAGAGAGGGAAAAGAAGGAAAGGAAAAGAAAAAAAAAGGAAAATAAAGATAAAATGGAAACAAAGGATTGCAAAGGACAGGTAAAAGGAGTGAAGGGAGAGAGAATGGAGAAAAAAGAGGAATCCAGGGCTATCATGTACAGGTATAGATTCACTATAATAAATATGATAATTATGTATATCTAAACTGTACTAACAAATTTAAAAACCAAAACACTAAAAAAAAACAAAAATGCTTTCTCTCCTAATCTACGGTGGGTTTCCTTTAGTGTAAGATCCTTAATATATATCAAGATAAATGGAAGAATTGAGTGGTTTCACATGTTTGATTATATGAATATGGCTTACTCCCATATGAATTTTTTTATGTAGTAGAATGCAGATAGGTAAAGCATTCCGAAATTGTTCACATATGTTCAGATTCTCATTCAATATGAATTCTTCCATATATGTAATTATACTTCTGTATATTGAAACAGTTTTTACATTGCTACAGAAAAAGGGCTTCTTTCCATGTTAAGTCCCTTTGTTTGAGTGCACAGCATTTTACAGATTCACAGCCAGTTACTTTTTTAATATCTGTGAGGTTTACTGGGATAACTTTTATACATTGCTTAGGGTCATTGCCACATATTTTTCAGTGTGATTGTTTTTATGTAATTGACTGCACCAGTGTGCACAGAATGAATCCCAACACTGCTTACATAAATAGAATTTACCCCCACTGTACTTTTTATGTATCCCAATTACTATGTGTTGAAAGCTTTCCCACATGATTTACATACATATAGTTTCTAAACAATGTGACTGCTTTCATGATTTTCAAAACTGCTCTGTGTGGGGAAAGCTATCCTACATAAATTGCATACTTAAGGGTTTTCAGTGTGAGTACGTTCATGTCTTTTACAATGACCTGTGACAAATGTTTTCCCACATTGCTTACACACATAAAGTTTCTCCCCAGTGTGAGTTCTTTCATGTCTTTGAAAATGACTGCCTGATGAAAGCTTTCCCACACTGATCACAAACATAACAATTCTTTCCAGTGTGAGTTCTTTCATGATTACACCAATTACCTTGGTCAGTGAAAGCTTTCCCACAATGCTTACACATACAGGGTTTCAAACCAGTGTGAGTTCTTTCATGTCTTTTGCAGACATTGAATGCACCAAAAGATTTCCCACATTGTTTACATGCATAAGGTTTCTCACCAGTGTGAATTCTTTCATCGATTTGACAATGATCATGTGTCCTAAAAGCTTTTCCACATTGTTTACATACATATGGTTTCTGCCCTGTGTGAATTCTTTCATGTCTTTGACAACTACTACCTGTGCTAAAAGCTTTTCCACATTGCTTACATACATAAGGTTTCTCCCAGTGTGTGTTCTTTCACGTCTCTGATATGTGACACATTTGAGAAAATTTTTCCCATATTGCTTACATTCATAGAGTTTCTCCCAAGTGTGAATTCTTTCATGTATTTTACATTCACTATGTGCACTAAATGTTTGCCCACATTGGTTGCATACATAGGGTTTCTCCCCAGTGTAAATTCTTTCATGTATTTTACTATAACTGTGTGTTCTAAATGTTTGCCCACATTGCTTGCATTCATAGGGTTTCCCTCCAGTGTGAATTCTTTCATGTTTTCTACGACTACCACGTGTGCTAAAAGCTTTCCCACACTGCTTACATACATAGGGTTTCTCCCCAGTGTGAATTCTTACATGACTTAGACAATTATCACATGTGGTAAAAGCTCTTCCACATTGTTTACATATATACGGTTTCTCCCCAGTGTGAGTTCTTACATGATTTTGACAACTAGCTTGTGTGGTAAAAGCTTTTCCACATTGCTTACACACATAAGGTTTCTTTCCAATATGAGTCCTTTCATGAATTTTACAATAATTTTGTCTGCTAAAAGCTTTCCCACATTGCTTACATATATAGGGTTTCTCCCCACTGTGAATTATTTTATGTTTTTGACAACTACCGTGTGCGGTAAAAGCTTTTCCACACTGCTTACATATATAGGGTTTCTCCCCACTATGAATTCTTACATGACTTTGACAATTAGCTCGTGTGGTAAAAACTTTTCCACATTGCTTACATACATAAGGTTTCTCCCCAGTGTGAGTTCTTTCGTGTATTTGACAAGATCCCTGTGTACTAAATGCTTTCCCACATTGCTTACATACATAGGGTTTCTCCCCAGTATGAGTCCTTTCATGTCTTTTGCAATCACCTTTTCTGCTGAAAGCCTTCCCACATTCCTTACATACACAGGGTTTCTCCCCAGTTCTTCCTCTTTCAAGTTTATAAAATGAAGAGTTATTAGTTAAGGATTTACCACTGTACTTACACACATAATGTTTTTCTCCAGTGTGAGCTCCTTCACATATCCAAACATCATGATGAGATTTAAAATCTTTTCCACATTGTGTATATACATATGTATCCACTCCACCGTGATGTTTTCCTCGGATTTGAACACAGTTCAGTGTACTAAAGGCTTTCACATCTTGCTTATATTCAAAGGACTTCTCTTCTATGTTAGTTCCTTCAGTACAATCAGAGTAGGATTTTCCACCTTGCTTATATTCATAAGCTTTCACTGAAGGAGCTGTCTTAGTATGCTTGAGAAAGGACTGGAATTCAGTGCAGGCTTCCCCATGTTTGCTACAGTTAGCATTTCCTGAAATCCCTGATACTCACATGCTTTGCATTCAGTGTTAGCTGTGACTGGCACATCTGCTGATAAGTGACCAATCAGGGGCTTTCCACAGGCAAGGTTTTCACCTGGTTTTATACTGACTGCTTTCATGTACGCATTACCATCTGGAGAGCAAAATACCATTTCTTCATGTTGATGCCATAAATCAAATATATGCCATTTCCTAAACCTTCACTTCTGCAATAGAACATAACATCACTACCAATCATATTTGAAAGTGTCTTTCTATTAATGATTGACTAGGAGTTCTAGTGTTCTGCTCCCTGAGAATATTTGATCATGATTTTATTGTACACTTTGGAAAGCATCTTTATCAAAACAATAGTATTTCTTTGGATACTCACAACTAACTTATTTAAACATATAACACTTTCTTTCTGAGGAACCCTTACATATAGAAACTATAAGTTGATTACTTTTTATACACTTCCTCCATGATTCTGTGGAACCTCACATTGAAACCCTTCACTGACATCCTAATATGCCACTATCTTCTCTATTTGTTTTTTATTTTAATCCTTAAATTATATGTTGAGTTTTACATATAAGTGGGACATATGATACTGAAATTTCTGTGTGTCATTCATTTAACTTCATATTATGGGCAGAAGATCCATCTATTTTATTCACAAATAGCATCTTTTTCATTTTTTATTGCCAAATAATATTCTCTTTCATACACATACATATACCACACACTGGGGAATAAAACTAGAGAAGCAGCACAAACTATACATCAAGCTTTATATAGTATCATTTTAAGACAGGGGCTCATTAAATTGCCTGGCCTGAACATGGGAATCTCTCTTTTTTTTCTTGTACCGGGAATCTTTTTTTTTTTTTTTTTTTTTTTTAACCAGGAATCAAACTCAGGACCTTGTGCTTGCCAGGCAGGTGCTTGTGCCACTGAGCTATACCCCCAGGTTTGTCCTGAGCATGAATGTATAATCTTAGTAGCTCAGATTCCCAGAGTGTTAAGATTGCATCATGGTACCTGGACTATCTCATATTTCCTTAATTTACACAACTATGAATGGACTACTAGGTTTTTTCCAGATCATACAACATTATTCACATGCTAAAACCATGGTATGATGCTTTGTGTCTAGACGACCCCTCAAATCCTCATGTGGTCAGAGGTTTTTCTGGAGGTGGCTGAATCTAGAGTATATGACTGGCTCCTAGTGCAATGCTGGGATTTAGGGTGCTAAGATTAAGGGTGAATGATTGCTAGATCAGCCCACTGATTAAATTGGTAGCATGCAAAAAAAATAAAAAATAAATAAATAAATAAATAAATTGGTAGCATGCAAATCAAGGTAGACCAGACACTATATAAGGGAAAGAGGTGCCTCTCTCCCTCTCTTTCTCTCATTGCTTTTGCTATTTTCTACCACATGAAGTGTTTCTCCTCTGGGATGCCCCTCTGCAAAGACATCCTGACTTATACCCAGTCAATTATGCACTGAAACCTCTACAAACTGTGAGCTATATAAACCTTTCCTCCTTTAAATTTTGGTGTAAGGTATTTTGTATCAGTAACAAGAAAGAAATGAAGGTACATGGGTATAGATGCACTAATATAAACTGTTTCATTTACTGTTGCAGAGAATTTAACCAGGAGTAGTGTAGATGATAGAATGAATTTTTTCTTTTTACAACTTTAAAGCAATTCTTCATCATTTCCACAGCTGTTCTACTACAATGACATCAACACCAATAATATAGGAGGGTTCATTCTAATATTTTGAAACATGAATGGACTTAATGCTAAGGAAGATTGTTTGATAACAACTACTATCATAACAGGGACATTCATCTGGATTTTGAATACTTTCACAGTGTTAGGAACTTTGCAAGTGTATGCCATATTTAAGTACATCTAGAATTCCTTACATGAACTGTTTCAAGGGAAAGTGACCTTTGTAAAATATGTACATGTATGCATAACTAGATATATTGAATGTGACTCACAGGCTAAACACTAAATTTGTTTCATGCTCCTGTTATCAATTCCTAAAATGCAAAATCATATATGCCTATACTCTTGAACAAAGAAAATAATTTGTTTATTCTGATACATTAGATAACATCACTAGTGACATAATGCCAGTGCTTCCTAAGTTTCAGATATTAGAATAATTTAAATATTCAATTATTAGATTATAGATACTCAATATGTAGGCATCTCTGCAAAAATTTGGTGAGACTCAAGAAATATTAACACTGCCACACTTGAACAGTATGCTTGGTTTTAATATTTCTACTTACACTCTGATATTTGAGGAACAATTCTTTTGGAATACAAATTACCTTAGATTTCTCCTGCAATTTTTGTACTCATCTTCAATTTTCTGGTCATCCTGGTGTCTTTCTAAGGGTAAAAACAGAAATGTAATGATGAGTTACTAGGTTACATAAAAATTAATAGATTCCAGTACAATTCCTTGGTATAATGTGCCCATGGATGGAGGAGTCATTAAAATGTTCTCATTTTCCAGTGAAGGAATCTGCACTGGTACACAACAACCAATTCTCTCTGATTTCATGAATGGGACAGTGATTGATTCCTTACCCACAGCAGAGACATTCCTAAAGGTTTCCCACATCACATCTCTGTAGAGCTTCTTTTGGGATGAGTCCAGCAAAGTCCACTCCTCCCTGGTGAAGATCACAGCCACATCCTCAAAGGTCACTGCCTCCTAAATTAAAGACATAATTTCAAAAAAGAGGAGTGAACTACACAACAACATGAAGCTCTCATGTCTGCTCATAAAAAGCTAAACTGAGGTTTAGTCCTCCAACTGTTTATTTCATATCTTGTTCATCAATCCCTTGTTCTATAGCCAGATGGATATCTCATACAGGAATTTTCATGCTAGGTTAGAATACACTGATAAAGCAATAGGAGAATGTAAACACCAGTTCCTCTCTGCGTAAGCCTATATTAGTTCTACATTGTCTCTAAAGCGTGGTTCATACAGGGAGGATACAAGATCAACAACCAAATGCAATAAAACTGTAGCAGTTAAGTATCAAATAATTGTTTTGACAGATCATACAAATATCCCTTTTCACAAATTATTATTTAGGGAAGTCATCCCAAACTTCTTTGATTGTATTTAGACAATATTTTGAAACTTTAATCTGGTTTCATAGATAACTAAATTGAACACTAAGGAAAACTGATGAATCATAATTTAAAATATGAGTAAAATATTACAGTTTTTATTAGAGAATGTCTAAGAGCAATGAAATTAGATTAAGGAAGATACATTATGTTACAGCTCAAAAACCTGAAATGTTCACCTGCGACATATGCATAAAAAATTTCTAACATAGCTTATGGGAGGAAACTTAGGAAATGGATATGATAAAAACACATACCATATGCAATGAACACCAACAAGTTACAAAGTTAAAAGTCACCAGTAATAAAAGAAAAAGTTGAAGAATAGTTGTGGTCATATCCAAATCACACCTTTGATTTGTCAAAAATTTATAACTGTTTGGAATTATAACTGTTTAATAATATTCAATAAATAATAAATAAAAGAGTGACACAGAGTGACATAGAATGGCCATTACAAAGACTGTAGGTTAGGCAGGGGATTTAGCTCAGTGGCACAGCACCTGCCTGGCAAGCACAAGGTCGTGAGCTTGATTCCCAGTACCAGAGGAAAAAAAAAAACCAAAAAACAAAAAAAAGAAAGTGTAGGTTAGAAGGCGAGAGAAAGAAAAGACAAATATTCACAATGATCAGTGAGAGACATCTGCTATTGTCAGGTTTTACAAGGGAATAGATTTAATACAAGACACAAAATTTATAGGATTATTTAATAATATTCACACAAAAAGTCAAATGCAGAGGAATGCAAGAGACCCAAAGAATCTAGCTGAGGGCCTAGATCCAACAACAATGTCCTACATGAGTTCAGCTGGAGTACTAGAGCCCATGACAATATCTCATGAAAGCCTATATCAAGGATCTTCTCTGGGAAGCACCGAAGTTCAGTGGTGGAAGCTAGAAAGTCTGCACCATCAGGGTTAAAGACCTGTGCCACCAGCCTGAGGGATCTGCACTGGAGCCATGAAGCAATGTTCAACTAAGGAACAGAGCTCCACCAAAGAGAAGAACAGCCATCTTCAGCAACAATGAGGACCCAAGTTCCTCTGATAATGAGAACAGCCAAATTCTCTTTTTTTTCTTTTTTTTTTTTTTTTTTGCCTTTTTGAGACAGGGCCTCCCTATACAGTTCAGGCTGGCTTTGAGCTCACTTTGTAGCCCAGACTGGTCTTGAACTCTCAAGGATCCTCCTGCCTCAGCCTCCCAAGTGCTGGGATTACAGGCGTGTGCTCCACCATGCCCAGCATGAACAGCCAAAATCATAGCAGGCAAACCAGCATGACAAGTTTCTCCCTCAACTGTGTATGATCTTCCTCACCAGTTTTCCTTTTATGTTGTTGGCAACAACCCTCAGGTGGGTCTTCCACACCTAGAACCACAGACTCAGTTGAGCTGGGTGTTCCAAGTTGACCACCATAACATCCAACTTTGGTGCACAATCCTATGTTATCTTTGAGAGGAGTGGTTTCTATATTCACAGTTGTGAAAACATGGCACAGAAAATCAAGAGGACATGCCAAAGAATGTTACTCATATAACTGAGAACTAAAGA